CTGTTTTGTTGATAGAGGTTGTTGGATATCAATCTTTTTGCAACACTATTACACTATTTACGAGTATAGTAAAAAAAACTTCGTGGATAGCATAATAATAAAATAACATTGATTACTGATGGTTTTTTATAGGGATAATTTTATTTTGGAAGCTTTTATACAGTAAAACCACGTACTTATTACCTCCCACAAATACCAAACGGAAGTAGTTTTTTTTTATGTTTAGATTGTTTATTTAGATTTTTGTACATTTTCGAAATAGTAATACCATTTTAATCTAATTTTATCCAAGATTCTTAGTTTTGTTTGTACTTAATATGATTTGGTTATTGTAAAAAATAAAAAAGAACTTAAGTTACAACCAAGATTTAGTGAATAACAGTTACAAATTACATATCTGTATATCATTTGCAATATATGTATTTCTTTCACAACTGTCGTCTTAGTGTGAATATATTATTAATTAGTATATAATAATTACTCGCATGTCAAATCATTAATTATTAATTTCGTCATTTTAATGATCGGACTCGAGTAATTGAATACAATTCGTGAGCTCTACATCATTTTTGACATGCATTAATTCTCTTTGAAATTTAATAATCAAATTTAAAAGAAATTGATGTTATTTTTCTGTTTTCGCAAAGTATCACAATACACAAGATCGAGTTATTATTTCATAAAGCAGGCCAGGACTAATCCAATTTTATGCTTCATATTTCAAGCAACCGATTCAATTTAAGCTATATCACCGCAATTTCAGTATCTTGATTGCTAAAAATTACGAGAGAGAATGAGATTAAGAGAATGTTTCAATATATAACGAGTAAATAAGCTGACAATAGACCATCTGATGCAAAGTTGTAATTGTCCTCTAAAAATATAAGTAAAACATTATAGATATCATATATTGTGCCTGCTTTATCATTCTTAAGAGCTAAGGCATGAAGATTTGAAATCTTTTACGTTAGAGATCGCATTGGGTATATATTTAGTTATACATAACACTTTCCAAAGAAATATGGGTCGAAATATGTTAAAAAAATTTGCACTTCCCATAAATAACAAGGTGCGTCCGACATCCGATCTGCAGCCTTCTGGCTGTCAAGTTAGTATAGCGGCTCTAAATTATATTTGTTGTTTTTTTCGACCTATGTTTGTTTTTTCGAGAAAACGCTCTTTAAAAGATAGTAAATATTTCGAGTTCACCATATATGATTGCAAGTGTCTTCATAGTTTAAACATGCCTTAGTACGCATTCAACAAACATTGCTTTCAACAAAAAAGCGGACATTTACGTAATAATATTGTGCCTTAATCCTAGGACACGTCGCACACACAAATTGCTGCTCTAATTCACTGGTGTTTCGCAAAGCTAATGAAATACGGCCGTGGAACGCCACGGGTCGAGGAGGTCGCGCGTTTTTTTTATAAAAAAACATAGTAATACTGAACTTGCAATGTGAACTCTTCTGTTCTTTTAAGCAATCTAGATATTTAACGAGATAAACTACGAACTACTTTTTCTCTCTAGAATCCATAACCAAATTCTGGTACTCGCAAACCTGGGATTCTCTTACTCGCTTCAGTACCAATTTTTTTTCTACTACTATCTCTTGTTGTATTAATCTGAATGGTAAGTTAATAGGAATCACTCTTTCTTGTCTATAATATATAATGATTATTAAAAAGGGTAATTCTTCAATTCATATATGCTTGTATTATCAATAAGAAAGCAAGTATTAATTCCCTCTGTTATCTTATTTGCGTCGTAACGGAATAACGGATTTTCTTAAAATTTTGCAAATAAATTTATGTTCAATAGTTGTATAAACAAAAAGTCGATTGTTTCGATATTTTATTACTAATTCTGTGATAATTTCAACTAATAACTAACCTGTATAGTGAGTTTATTTATTAACTTTACAGATAGACACTTCCTATCATAAAAATATATAATACATAATACTTGTCACTTGCAAATGACTTCCGTTATAGGAAACACACAATGTCACATATTTTCCATCACGTATTCCGGAAGTAAATTTTATTAGGTATTATAACTAATAAATATATTACAACAATGTTGATACGATATACTCTGGTCTCGATCGTTTCGTTAACAGTACCATTGTTCCGTGCGAATATTAAAATGTGAATAGAAATTGTGTAATTATACGATACGTTCCGTTGTGTGTTTATTTTCTTTTTTACCCACACTATTGTTTTGCACAGGTAAAATTTTATGTAAGAGTAAACAAAGGACCCCACGCAATTTAATAGATAAAACGACGGCGATAGTACGGTGATATTTCAAACATTGTCAACGTTTTCAGTCCATTTTTATGATCCAATTTTATGACATTTCTTCACTTTTCTTTTACGTGTGTTTATACTCTTATTTGTTTGTTTAGTACTATTTAAAACCTTGTTTTTATTTCATATTTATTACAAACTCCAGAGATATGATATCATCTCGAAGTAATGTATATAAGTTACTTCGCATATTTACCTAAGTAACTGAATTACGTATATGTATAGGTTAACCTTCCAAGGGGTCCTCCCTTGGGAGATTAACCTGTATATGACCCTATGTTCTACAGTGGACAGTTAACGGTTAATATAAATGAATGAATATACAGAATAAAAACTTTTAGTTATTATTGTATACTAATTATTATTAACTTGTTATTTTAGACTTATTTATTTACTGGATTAAATATAAACCATAATCTTTATTTATTAGAGCAACCAACAAGACTTCTACTATGATTACAGTTTTTATCTCATGCAATAGTTCAGGTATGTAGTGTTAAAAAAATAATAAATAAATAATTTACTGGTTACCGGGACATATATTAATTTTTAAGAATTTTTAAGAAATAAAGATAACGTGCAAAAATATATGTATGCTTGGATATATGCTTATTTGTTTCATATTAAAGAGATTTATTATATTTTATTATCCACTTCATTTATTTATTTTCTATGAAGATATTGAAATATAACACATCCCTGGTCGTAACCACCCTCCCCTCATAACCTATCGAGAACGGTTCCAAGTTATAAACCCAATTATAAATATTATAGTATATTATTGATTTGTTGTATGATTTATCTTTATCTTTAAATTAACTTATAAACTTGAAATGTTTACTTATAAAAGTCATAAGTGAATAATATTATCAGCACGTGCACCATCATTACTGTACGAGTCTGCCATTATTCTTACTTATTAAGTTATGTTTCATGGGTGGCGCGTGGGCCGCGCTGTGTCGCAAAACTTTTGCGAAACCGCCCAACTATGTTCTATGCCTCTATGGTCAGCGGCCTTAATGGAGCGGGCATTGTTTATAGAGCAGCACCACGGTTCCGGTGTCGTTTTATTCATATGTACATATTTATGATGAAATATAATAGGTAGATAGATAGACAGATACAAATATAATAGGTGAAAACGTGCAATTGTGGACCAACATTTTAACCAGTTAAGTTTTATAGAACTGTATTTGCTTTTATGATACTTTCTCCATTTTAAAATTTTGGTACTTACTATTCAGTTAAAGTGCTTTATCTGTAATTTCCAGTAAAAGTAAGGATAATTGTTAAGGTGCAGTTAGGTACAGCGAGTGAATGGTAATTCTTTCACTTCTTCGATTTTTATTTAGTTTAGACGTGCGGATCATTATTCAATTGCATTTTCGTATAATAGTATATTCTATTTTTAACAAACTTTTAATCAACATGATGTAAATTATTTAGATGTGTTGAAGAAGGTTCCCAATGCGGTTGTATTTTCTTATGATTGTTATCTCATAATTTCATCAATTATAAACCGATTTAGATGTTTTTTTTTGTCTGAAAGTATATACTTTCAGATTGGTCTCATAGAAATTTTATCAAAATCGGTTGAGTTTAAATTAAAATTACCGGTTTTGACGATAGAAGTCGATAGAAGACGATAAATGTACCTGGTTTTATGTTCTGTGCCCTATGCTCTTTTAAATGTATTTGGACCTAAGAAAGGAATGGAACCTGTGGTAAACAAATATATATACTTATAATGATGAAATAATATGTACTTATAAATGAGAAAATTTGTGAAGATGTTCGGATCTTTGCGTTTGTTACTCAAATTATACTTAATCGGGTTTGAGTAAAATTAGGTACCCGGGTATATTATATATTAACACATACTATATGACATTGATGCTCCTTTCCCTTGTTCGCACTTTGGGTTTGCTGGAAGAAAACTCTTGTAGAGTTAAGTTAGCCTTAGTACATTTGATTTCCTCTGTCATATTTACGTATTACTCGTATTAGTGTGTAGAATAAAGTACAAATAAATACTTTATATACTAATTCACGTGGGTAAAGCGATAGAAAACAGTACCATGTAACGCTTAACTATTGATTGTTGCTTATAATTCGAGACTTGGTGCGTACGCGCACGCACCGCGCTCTATTTCATTAGCACTTGACATAATCGATTGCGCCCACGCTATGGCCACTTAACAATTACACGGTTTTTCAATTTTCACGTTCAGGGTTATGACCCTTGTTATACGCTGTAGTTAGCCGACAAATTTTTTATTATAATTGATTTTATAGACCCTTTAATAATATTTTTTTGTTAGCAACGGCAATAAATATTTGTTTTGTGTTATGGTTACTATACATTTCATCATATATTTATCAATATCAAATCAAAATAAATATCAGCCATTAATAACTGTTCACTGCCGAACATAGGCCTTTCTCTTGGGGAGAGTTGTCATGTTTAGCAGGCGGGTTGGCAACTGCAGTTAGGCTTCGATGATGTTTTAAGAGGGACGCTGCTGCCAATCTTTGACCATTCGACTGAGGGAATTTACCCTCGAGTCACCTCTTACGACACCCATGGGAAACGAAGGGGTGGACCATTCTATGCTGGGACCACACGGCATTTTATACATTCGTTCATGATATATTGAAATAACTTATTTTTTCCTTGTCAACAGAAAACTTAGCGCCGTCAGAGCTTAAGAAACTTAGGAATAAACAGAGGAAAGCGAAACGCAAAGCTGAGCAAGAGATCGCGTTGGCAGCACAGGTTCAAGTGAGTATACTTCACTACTCTATTGTAAAATAATGTAATTCTGAAGCTTCACTGGATTTTACAATTATACTACCTTAGATTATGTAGATAGAGCATCGAGCCTCAAAAACGGGGCAACATTTTATCAGCTAATTGGCAAATTAGCTGTCTCGTTTTTTTATATCAGAATTCTATATACTTACGCATAAAATGTATCTTGACGTATTACTTAATAAATAAAACGTGTGTTAATGCATTAAAAAGATGCAGAAATTATAAAGACAAAATTAATATATAAATTATATAGGAATCATTTATACCTATTTTTTTATTGGGTGATAATGGAATGGCAACCCCATCCGTGGTATCGATATACACTGGCGAGGTACCAGTGAAGGATGATATGTGAGGATGAAGCAGGTCAGTTAGCCCATCGTAACGAATTCAAGAAGAATTGTTCTCGATGTTCTATATATATAATCTGAGCTCAGAACATAGAATTCTTTATATACTATGTTTTAAATAAATTTGATTGTCTTGATGTCGGCTTAACATCGGCTTAACATGTCACGGCTTCGATTCCCGCATAAAGCAAACATTTGTATTCATAAGTATGTTTGTGTGTATTGGTCTGAGTATTTTCCATGTATAATATATCCATGTATTTACGAAAATAAGTCTTTCTATCAATTTATACTTAGTTTGGGACTAGGCAATGCTGCGTAATATGTGCGCGAATATTTGTTTGTCTTAAATTCCAGGTAAAGCGTGAACAGCACCACAAAGCGCGCCAACAGCAGGAGCAGGGCGACCCCGAAGCACCGCAGCTCGATGAACTCATACCCGACAAACTAGCCAGGGTAAGGCGTTTTGTATTGCTGGAGAGACTATTCGTATCAAATTCTGAATATACTTCTTCTATGTATCTATGTAATATGAAAGTATTTCTTTGAGAATTATTCTGAATTCTGAATATATTGTTTATTCTAACTATAATTATATCTAATTATATTGGTTATTATATTGAATATTTTCCCCAAAGAAATGTGTGTTAAAAACGAGTGAAAATTTGGAGCATTCTATTCTCTACGTGTTTCCGGAGAAATTTTCAGTTTCGCTAGTAGAACAATTCTTCAGAAGAATCATCTTCATATCAGCCGCTGGTTGTTCGCTGCTGAAAATAGGCCTCAAGCTTTGCAAGTAGTTGCCACGCTTGGTGGGTTGGCAACCGTAGTCACGTAACCCTTTTAGTGATGTTTTAAGAGGGACGCTGCTGCTCATCCCTCGACCATTAAGTCATCAAAAGGATATTAATGATTTACTATTTATTAATAGATTTCTTCCTGTATAGTATTCTATAGCGAAAAATCTTAATTTATTAGCTGTAAATGGTCACTATCATGGACATTATTTATATGTAATTTTGAATTCAGTAACTTATGTCTTATTTTTGCTATAATACAATTTTCTTTAAATTCTTGACTGTATTGAAAACTGAATAAAAAGTCGTTGTTTCGGGAATCGGTGATGCAGATTTATATATAATTTCAGGCTTTTTTTATTTATCAGAGCGTTACTTTGTAAATTACCATAATTACTTCTATCTCACTTGTTACTAGTAATTTTGTTGCCAAGCAAACATTTTGTTGTGGAGTGCGGATAAGTTTTGGCAGTGAAATTGTTAAGTATTGTGCGTGACTTAAGATCATGTCATGGGTTTGCAAGTGGTGAGTATTGATGCTCCTTAACACGGGTCATGGGCTGCGGTGAGTGTTTACTTTATATGGATGATATTGGAATTGTAATTGCGCCTGCGCTGTCGACATGCGCTGGTGAGGCACCAGTGATGAATAGGTGAGGATGAAAGCAGGTCCGTTGGTCCATGGTGACAAATTCACCAAGAACTAATCACAATGGTTTATACACATGGTGATAAACGTGTGGGGGTCTATCTGACAAGCTAATTCACTAGAAATCGTTATTAAAATTCTTTTCGTCCCTGTAGGCCTTTACTCTTCAAGCAAACCGTATATTTAATTGTCAGATTTTTTGTTAAATAAAAGATACTAGTCTGTTTTTAAAGCAGTTTCAAAGGGCAGGAAACTCCATCAGTCGTTATTCTCATATCGTGTGACAATTGGCATTCAAATAACTACATAGCTGACGGGGTCGCTCGTGACTGTGCAAGTTTAGTCACCGTTTTGACAGATTATTTTGACATCAATTCTATAAATAGTTCACTACCTGTTGCATACCAAAACAATGCAATTTCAAATATTTCGGCCTGAGGCTGCTGGCGTGTCGTGTTTTTAAAATCAATGCTTAGATATAAGGCCCGAATCTAACTTGCACATAAAAAAGTCCAGTAGGTATTGTTTCATTCGCAAACTAGATGTTATCCGCGATTTAAACCACATTGTAGTCGTAGATGATAATTTACATAATAAGGCAATGTAGTATATGTACTTACATATATAAGTATCGAGTAAGCGCATTGATTGTTTGGTTCTTAAAAAAATCTTGTCTATTACTTTAAAAAGACTTGTAATCTACTATAATGAGAAATCAACCATTTGATTCTTTAAATGAATGCCTAAAACAAATCCTCAAATATGAGAAAATTAAAAAAATGCTGCAAGTATGCAATTTGCAAATGTAGTTACTAAGAGCAGGCAACTTGGATATGTTACATTTTCGCTCATCATTTGTTTAAATAAAGTGTTACGAGTATTAAAAAAATCTTGTAAATGCAGAAGTTAGCGGCGGGATCTTGGATTGTAAGAAAAATCCCTACAATACATTATACTCCTAAAGAACAGAATCGCGAAATAATCTGTTTTATTAGGTAATGTCTATAAATGAAAAACGTTGACAATTGATGTCGAGTGTCTCGGTTCATTTGTTTAATAGTTAACAAATAATACAGTTCTTTATTAAAAAAAAAAAAATTGTTTGTCATTTTTTTCTTTTCCGGAAACAAATGTTTGACAACATTCTATTCTAGACATATGCGGTATATATGTATATAAGAGTTATTGTTCCGTCTGGCTGTCATATTGAAAAGTCACGATCTGCTTACACGATCTGCTCGCCCATACAGGCACGATCTGTTTCAAATATTCATGTATCTAGCATGCAGTTTTTATTTCCATGACCGATTAAAGGTGAAATAGTTGTGAAAAATGTACACTACATTAAGTGTTTATTGAATTTAAATTGACAAGTATTAGCATTAGTTTAAGAGGGCATTCTATCGGTAAAAGTTAACATTTTTTTCTAAAGATATTTGGGTTGAAGAAGGAAAAAAATTACGAGCTCTCATGGGAGTCTGTATTGTTTTTGGCGTTTTTCAATTCTTATTCTTTTGGAAATAAAACCGGAGTCGAGGAACACTGTTAACATTTTGTTTTTTATTTATTATTTATTTATTTGACAAAAATACAAAGTTACAAACACAAGATACAATGGGCCCCATACTAGGCGAACCTGTACCGTGGGCACCCGACAAAGATTAACAAATCACAATGTGTTATAATAAAAAGTACATAGTGGGCGGGTATTAATATAAAAAGGAATATAAAATTGAAATAGTGAAAAAAGTAATAAAATCAACAATATAAATACACAATTTAAACTAATATTTCCAGGTAGAGGATCCGTTAGAACAAGCAATCAAGTTCCTACAGCCCCTGCGGACCCTAGCCGCGGATAGAATAGAAACACACTTAATGGCCTTCGAAATATACTATAGAAAAGGTATACTTTTAATCAAGGTTGGCATTTATTATACTTTTGTTAGTGGTAATTGTATTTTATAAAATTGATTTCACCACTTTGATGACAGTTCAGTAAGAGAGACCAAATACAAACAGTATTTGGTCTGGAAATTCTAAGATTTAATCCTGGGATTAGGTGTTAATGATTATATAATAATTTTCTTTTGGCCGCATTATGACCGAGAAAATACGTTACGTAAATGGAAGCCAATGTTTTGATCATAAAAGATATTGAAGATAAAGAAAAGTGGAGAAGACTGAAATGGAAAGTGGACCGGGCAATAAATCATTTGGATCATTTGATAAGTGTTCCTGTGATAATTTCAATAATACTTGGTTATCTCCATCTATCTCTTATCTCCTTCATCATATCATCATTCAAGAGATCATATCTCTTATCAACCAGTTTGGGATCCGGGGTTTGCTTGTTTCTAAAACTTTAGGGTGTTGCAGTGATATCACTAAAGCCTATAACAGCTAGTGTTCATTATTATGGTGTGCGTTTCAGAGAAACCCCTGCTGATGCTGCAGAGCATAAAGCGTGCATGGAGACTGGAGAGTACCCACCCACACTTACACGACTGCCTGGTGAGATTCCGCTGCTGGTTGGACCGCTCGCAGGCCACCCTGCACCCCAATGTTGCAGCTGTGATCGATGCCGAGACGGAGCCGGTATGTTCCTCTTTAGTTTTTTTTTTAGACGGCCTACTTGATGGAAAGTGGTAATCGTCACTTACAGACGTTCTAACATACATACATGTATAGTGAAATTTTTTATCTTCATTCAATGAAAATTTTAAATAAGAAATAATGTATTTTTGTTAATAACATGTATTTGATTTAATTGTATGAGTTTATTTTCGGGCTATCTCACTATACATTCCTGTTCTTCCGTCGTTGTTATTATGTATTCAGTTATTGGTTCAGTTACAATATCTCAATATCTACTTATTGGATAATAACGTATTAAATATCGATTATCTATTATTTACATAATATCGAAATTAACATAGATTTTTTGGCGGTGATTTTTTTTCCCACTATCTGTGCCCAGAGGAACTTAATACAAGTATATAGATATCGGAGCGGTACAGATATTACCCATGTTTTTTTTTATACAACTAGAAAACAAGCTGACGGTCCACTTGATGGAAAGTGGTAACCGTCGCCTATAGACATGAGCAGTACCATGGACATAACAGAGTATACTCTTTCGTCCATGATACCCGCCATGCGTTGCCATTCCTGAGGACTCAGGCATTATTCCTCTGTACCCAGTAAATTCACGCCATATCCCACCCTTCAAACCGAAACACAGCCATGCAAACACAACTGCTTCACGGTTGAAACACGAATGGGACAGAGGTACCCAAGCAATCGACTCTTGTACAAAGTCTCCCTCTGATAATTACGACATATCCATACTGCTACTGCTCACAGCTTCATCGAAAAAAAAGTTTAAGCGGAACTGAGAGTGCAAGTGGTGGTTTCCAGATGATGCGCGGGCGCAGCGCGCTGCAGATCGCGGAGGAGTACCTGGCGGAGGCGGGCGCGCGCGGGCAGGCCGCCGCGCTGTGGGCCGCGCGCGCGCTGCGCCGCCTGCAGCCCGCGCGCGCGCCGCACGCGCTCGCCGCCGCCACCAGCCTCGCGCACCACGACCTCTCCATACAGGTCAGCTGGTGCTATATTCCTACATATAGAGTATATTCCTTTTTAAAAGGCCGCCAGCACACCTGCAATGCCGCTGGTGTTGTGGGTGATCATGGGCGGCGGTAGTCACTTACCATCAGGTGAGCCGCATGCTCGTTTGCCCCCTGTGTTGTAAAAAAAAAATCCTAACCCCGGGTGCGGGCGGGGGGGGGGGGGAAATGGACACTAAGAATCCCATTGCTACCAATATACCCAACCAGCTCGACCTCCTCGCGGTTCCCCCTGGAAACCATCATGGTTAATTCTTGTCGAATTAATCATGGTGGGCCAACTGACCTGCATTCATTCTCACCTATCATCTTTCACGATAGCGCGGGCGGGATTACCACTCCATTTTCACCCATTAAAAAAACCCCGTCTGCGCTCACGGTATACACTAATCATTGGTAAGGATAAAAACGCAACTCAGTTGGCCCATACTGACCGATTCAACGCTAGATAAGTCAGGGTGGTTTCGAGGGAGAACCGCGCGAAATTCGATCTGATAAGGTATATTTTATTTATTTATTTACAAGAAACATGGTAAGTATATAGATTTTACAATAAGTCCTTATATTTCGCCATAATTAGGCATGCAAATATTAAAACTTAAGAAGAATAAATGTTAAATAAGTCATTAAAATTCGAAATGTTATATAAAAAAAAATACATAAAATATGTCAGACACTTGTCAACAATAAAAAAGAAAGAAATGTCACTGTCAAATCATGGACTATTGATAACAGCTGCACTGTAACACGATAGGTAATTCAAGTAGGTTGTTTACCTTTTTATATCAAAAACTCTATATTGCATTTAAGTATAATGTCTATTGCGAACAATGAAAACTAACCTACCCATTACTAATAATCCCTTCCCTCCAGCCACTGGGGTTATTTTAATGGATTGTAATGGAATGGTAACCCTTACTGCGCAAACGGTATTCGTTGACGGGGCATCATGATGAATACACGAATAGAGCGCAATGGTTTCTAGGGAGGATCACGTGGAGGTTGACCAGGTAGTTTAGTCTTGAAATAAATTCGAACTATCCTAATTATAACTTAATTCCTGTCGTTTCATGAATGCAGTATAAAATTATCATTGGCAATAGTCCGATTGATATTGATATTAAATACAAGAGTAGGATATATTGCTAGCAATGGCCGCATTATTGATAATACCTTACCTCCCGAGCCACAAGGATTAACAATAGGAATTGCTTGAACAGGATGAAATTAGAATGGAAACTCGCCTGCACTGTAGTGATACGCTAGCGACTTATCAGTGAGTCATGATAGATGAGGATGACTTTAGTTCAGTTAAAGGTCGATCTGACAGGGTATATTGCTAGCAATGAGCCACTAGTTTCTTTTACTAATCTTAAACCACTACTCCCCCTCCATTCTGTTATGCAACTTCCTATACCACAGAAAAAGATGGGGTACGTATAGGAAGTAAGTACGAGTAATAGTAATATAATATAGAATAACATGTTAAAATTCCATAAATAATAACATTTACCGTTCTCATAATTCCAGGGTTGCGTGGAAGTGCTAGAAAGCCTCAGAGCTGGAGACTTCGGCCCTTGCGAGAAAGAAATAGAGCAATACATAGCAGCATGTCGTGCCAAGTTCCCTTACGCCATAGCGTTTATGCCGCCCGCCTCTGCTACACCCGCGTCCGCCCCCGCGGACACCACTGGGGCTGACTGCTCCGACAACCACGTGGACGAAAACATACCGCTTCAGCCTAAAGAGATTACAGTTAATAATTAAATACGTTATGTACCCAGAACCTGTGAGTTATCGATTTTATGAATTAAGAGCGTTGAAATGCATTTTTTCAATCTCAACAAAAAGTATCCAAAAATTTACTATCTACTTCTCTCGTATTTAGACTGACTGAAACGGAATGAATGGCTGTACCCAGACTTTGTACACTAGGATTAATTTGTTGATATTTTTTTTTATCTGTGGTTTATGACAATCATGTCGATGAAAGGTACAAATTCACGTTGTGGGATTGTAATTAGATTTTGTACACTGTGGGTTCTTGTTATCACTTGTATAAACTCCAGATGTCAAAGCGTGATCATTGCCTCCTATCTCTGCTTGTTGATTGTAAAATTAAAAATGTTATTAAAATGTATTTTTTTTTCCTTGCAGTGCAGGTTTATGGAAAGTTTTAAATAGATTAAATAACATGAATGCGACAGAGTATTCGAACAATGTAGTGTTTAATCACATTATTTTTATTTATTTTATCATCTTGCTATTTATTGTTCATAATTAGATCATGAAACAAACATTTCAAAGGCCGGCAACACACTAGCAACTTCTTTCGTGTTGCAAGTGTTCATGGGTGACGGTAGCCGATTTCCATCAGGTGGAAATCGGCTACCGTCACCCTGCCGTCGCCTGCTCGTTTGCCTTTCTGACAATAAAAAAAGTTACATAATGTCAGTGAAGTTGTAACAATACGTAAGTAAAAAAAGTCTACAGGAGAACAAAAAAAAACTGTCTAAAATTAATGTTTGTATTCAAAATCAACTTATTGAAGTAATAAAAGACGATTTATTTAAATTTTACGACGCACTCTTGATTTATGTTATTAGTAAATCTTCGGAACATGTGAAAGCAAATACCATACTCTGAAGCTCATAACAGATGACTTCAAATGTAAATTTGACCCATTTCTTAGAGATCTCACCATCTCTGTACTCATCTTCTAATGGTTGCTTTTCCAATAATAAAGACGAAGTTGTAATAGTCTTTAACTATTTTGGGAGGCAGTTATTTACATATATATATGCTGTTGATTCTTATAGTAACTGTTCCACTAAAGAGCGAGCAAAATTTTAAGACTTTTCTTTACACGAAGATAATTTATATTCTCTTAAAGATCAGTTACAAGAACGTTTTCTTGTGACAATTGTCCAAGAGTATGTTAACCTATTGGCTCTAATTTAGTTGAAAATGCCACAGGTTGCTGCGGTAGATTTTCATTTAAAAGTAAAGTCACAGCTAATTCATCAATATATGAGGACGGAAATTTAGATTAATTATGAACGAGCAAGTTATTGATATCTATATTTTCTTACTCTAAACTAAAAAAGTTATTATTAGCACACCACTAAATAACGTAAATAATTACCTTTGCCATAGGTAAATCTTACAGACGACTTTGCAGGTTACGAATCTATATGCTGACAAGCCAACACTGCGTAAGCCAGTCAGGCTTACGCAGTGTTGGCCTTGGTAGTTTACTTATGTAGTGTTACTTTTATTGAAATATGCGGCACGTCTTTTTAAATATCTCGTATCTGATTAAGTGGAAGAGAGCGTGTCATATTTATCTATTAAATGGTATCACAATGTTAAAACTGCCAAAAAATTACTTCGGCAATGTTAGAACTTCACTGACGATAAGATGGTACAATTAATGTCAAATTTTCTACAAAAAATTCTGGGCGTTGCAATTTACATTACATTAAAACATTAAAATTTTTATAAATTTATTTTTAAATGTAATTTAAAGTTGTTTTAAATTTATTTTTAGTATAAGTAGATATTTTTTCTAGATGCTAAAATTAAATTCAATTGGCTTCACAACAACCGGAATAACACTACAGCAACTGAAGCTGTCAAATGGTACATCCCTAGTTTGAATTAGTTTCTGTTTGAAAAGGCAACTGTGAACAACTCAAGTAACCGAGCCGCAGGACTTAACTCTTAGCTTTATCGTTATGGGCAAGAGTGGGTTTCAAAATGGAAAACGCTTACCCTAATATTATTGTCCTAAATTTTATCTCACTATTTCGAATAACTAATAAATATGGGTTTAGTTTTGAGGCACCATTTTCTAAATCGATTAAGGTAAAATTTAATTCGATAGTTTAGACAAATTATTATCGTTAAGGTTATTAAGAACTAAATTTTAAGTAATTTAGTTGATACTGATCCTTCTAATGTATAGTAAAATCTATACATACATACATACATATCTGTCATGCCTGTCTCCCATTAGGGTAGGCAGAAATAATGGAACGCCAAATGTTTCGATTCAAACAAACCTCTTTCGCTTATTCCACATTTATCAATTTTTTCATACACGCTCACCGGTTACGGGTACAAATAAAAAGTAAAATAATGTAGTAAAATCTATACTAATATTATAAAGAGGTAAATTGGTGAGTTTGGATGTTAGGGATAATCGCCGGTACTACTAATCCGATTTCGAACATTATTTCACTGTTAGAAAGGTATATTATCACTGAGTGCTGTAGGCTACTTTTTATTTTAATAAGTATATATTTTCAATAATTAATCACAATAATTTTAATCGAAGTTGGCAAAAATTCTATTATATGGCATGTGTTGCATGAACAGGTTGAAATAAAGGAATAAATTCTGTAGCAAAAATATTAATTACTTTTAATTTTATTAAGTCTGGGACAACAACGATCTAAGTTTAATATCTCCGCCAAAATATTATTTTTATATTAAAAGTACAATAAATTTTATAAGTTGGGTCGCTAGCTTTCTTAAGGAACGTAGCATTAAGGTCGTAGTCGACGGAGCATGCTCTGACTTAAAACCTGTGAATGCTGGTGTCCCGCAAGGCTGTGTACTATCTCCGACACTGTTTCTTCTGCATATCAATGATATATTACAGATCAGTGATATTCATTGTTATGCGGACGGCAGTACAGGAGATGCATTATACACCGGTCATGCAAAGATCTCGCGGGCACATACCGATGAGCTTCGGAACAGACTTGTGTCTGAAATCGAAACTTCACTCGATAAAGTTTCGATCTGGGGCGAACGCAATCTTGTTCACTTCAACCCTAAGAAGATACAAGTCTGCGCGTTCACCACAAAAAAGACACCGTTTGTCGTATCTCCTCACTTTCAGGGCACTTCCCTCGATAATAAGTTGAGTTTGAGGATTCTTGGTGTCGATATATCTAGCGACGTCCAGTTTTGCGGTCATCTGGAGGAAAAAGCTAAGTTAGCTTCCAAAAAGTTGGGGGTGCTCAATAGTGTGAGACAGTATTTCACGCCAGAACATCGCCTGAAGCTATATAAAGCTCAAATCAGGCCGCATATGGAATACTGTTCTCACCTGTGGGCAGGAGCGCCATAGTACCAACTCCTTCCGTTAGACCGTATTCAAAGTCCGGGCAGCTCGAATTGTTGATGATTGGCACCTTACTGTCCGACTCGACCCACTGAAACTGCGTAGAGATCTTGCATCTCTGTGCATCTTCTAACGAATTTATCATGGGGAGTGCTCTGAGGAATTGTTCGGATTGATACCTGCTCCTGATTTTCACCATCGTACAACCCGCCATAAACTAAAATTTCATCCCAACCATCTGGACGAGTGGCGGTCCTCCACCGTGCGTTTTTCAAGGCACTTTCTTCCACGCACAACCACTCTTTGGAATCGACTTCCAGCAGCAGTATTTCCGAACCGATACGACAACGTAACCTTCAAGAAAAGAGCATATTCCTTTTTAAAAGTCCGGCAGCACACCTGCAATGCCATTAGTGTTGTGGGTGATCATGGGCGGCGGTAGTCACTTACCACCAGGTGAGCCGCATGCTCGTTTGCCCCCTGAGTTGTAAAAAAAAATTTATTTGATGACGGGTTTGACGTATACATTACAAATTCTTATAAAAATAGCTAAATCGAAATGGAAATTTCAGAGAGATAAAGTTTACTTTTTACAGCATTTCAATTAATGCAGTTGGTCAGAAGATAATGCGAAATAAAAACAATAAGCCGGTAAAATTATTGCGTTGTCGCTGGCGCTGGTCGTGCGAGAATAGTGGGCGGGGCGCGGAGGTGGGGGGCGCAAGAGGAACTATATAAACTCGTTTATATTTAATTCCTATATAGGCCGTTCAATTTAAAACCTTAGAGAATATTAGTGCAGTACTTTCATACACGCCAAAATACCGGCCTTACTAAAATGTGTTGAATAGTTTAAAGGTTACATAAACAAATGTACCTGTGCGAAGTCGGGGCAGCTCGCTAGTTCCTATAAAGTGAAATTTAATTTTAAGTTTAGAGAATGGTGCTTTATAACGCATCTCAATGTTTTGTGTTTAACATTAATTATGTTTTAGAGTTACATATTCTGTTATGTTTATAAAAAACAATATGATTTTTTTTTTCAAATATGTAACAGTACTGTATCGATAATAAATTCTGTATATTATAAGCAATCTGTTGAACTATATCACTACGGAGACCTTGACATTGTCACGCGACAAAATTTATTAAATTTTATCAATTTATAAAAATTATATTTTCACTAATACTACTGCTACTACAAATAAATTTTTCTATATTTTTATAATTTTTTTTTCTTACGTTATTTTCCATTTTTAAAGTCCATTGTGTTTTTGTTAATAATATCTTCATCCGAGCACTTGTAAAACATACAGAATAGGGTTATTTGCATTTTTTTTGTAACCTGTAATGTCAAACAGTTGATGTCTCATTTGACGAGAAGTGCTAACCGTCGTTTATAGAGGTGAACAGTCACTTTATACACTGTGACGCTCATAGTAACCCAGATAATTTGAGACGTGTACTTAAGTAAGTCAATACCACATTAGATCATATTACATTTTTGGAAAAATGTGCTTAATATTTTACTATGATAGCTGGATTCATTAATTATTTGTTTTTAACTTTTGGTGTTAAGAGAGACGTAATCTATTTCTATGTTTGTATATGGTTGTGGTATCGGAAAGCTACCAATGGACGGACCGTTTCCATTGTGGTTTTTTGTTTGTTTTAGTTAGAATGGTTTAGCTTAGACTTTGGTGGTAATCAGACCAAACGCCAAAGCTGGGGTCGAAGGCATCTTGTTAAATTAAAAATGGAATTGTAACTCAAAAACTAAACAAATTTCATTATTCGAGATGTTCAAATTCAGATGAAAAGCAGATCATTGGAGAGTTGAAACTTTATAAGACAATTGGAAAAAGTATTGTTTTTTTTTTTTATTTGCTTCGAGCAATCCACTGAACAACATTGAACGCACCTCGCATCAAACGTACACAACAAAAGTATACAATTTGTAACGTGTCTGTTCAGCATGTTGTGCTTCGTAGATGCATTGATTTGTAGAAGTACCCACTTATCATAATTTATAAAAATACGCTTGAGGACGACATGTCAAAATAATATAGATATCATAAACATTTTACAATAAATACAGCCTAACAAAGTACAAGTGTTTTATGATAACGCAATCGACATATGTATCAGTCATTTAATGGAAAGTTTCATTTGTCACTGAATGTTATTTATTGTAATTATTTATATCGCGACACAGCCGTAAACTGCGCTTATGTAGTTGTATTATTTGGATTCATTTGATAATTTGCTGGTTTTGGGTGTTCAAGCTAGGTAACGAATGTCACAAAGGCTCTTTAAACCCCAACGTAAATAAACGGCGTGAAGATGTGCATATAATAGATATAGAAACTAATGACTGTTATCAGATGATACGCAAGCTCGTTTGTCTCTCTTTTTCTATTAATAAAAACTGTACCTTAGAGAAAAGAAATCAGGATAGTGAAAAATGGACGTACCTTTTATATCGGAGGTACAGAAACAATATTTTATATAAGTTTATATCCGTGCATACACGCAAACATGTAATTGCAAACGTCTTTGTATTATCAGTAATGTTTTTATAAAATAAGTATTGTTTGAACGCCGCGATTAAATGTTACCTGAAACGTATCGGTAGCATAATTATGTTCCTTGTTCATTAGTTTCTAAGTACGTATAATATCCTGCTTTTATCTACTCAAATAGCTTATTCTATATTTGCGGCATACAAATTTCGTGGCGCGGCAATAATACATGGACATTTTATACGCATTGTGTTGACCTAAAACCTGCATAAGATTCTCTGAAGCACTTCTGATGACAGTCGCTTTTTGTAGCGTCTTATGGTTATTCTGATAATAATAGATTTAGAGTTTTCGATTTTGTGTAAAAATATCGATCTTTTGAATCGATTCGTGATCGATTCATGTTTGTTCGATCTTACGATAATCGATCTCCATCTTTCCATTTACATATCGATTTATGGAGAAAGTAAATAAAATAGCACAGGGAAATTAACAATTTTAAAAAGAGAACCCACGCTGTCACATAAGAGATGCCAAATTCTCTGATAAAAGAGAACAGAAAAAAATCACCGAACATGATACATATCTTCAATAGGATCTTTAAAAATCGATTCAAAAATCAAAGATAGAGGATTCAAAAGATGGAATCGAGATCGGAAGCCCTGCAGTATATCCAGTTGTCTAGTCGGCGGTGTTTTCAAGCCCCTGCCATGTTGTAATGGCATCACGACACGTAATTTGTACAATCAAATCTTGGTATAGCATAATGTATATTATTTTAAATTTTTATCATAAGTGTTTTATCTACAATTTCTGTAATCTCTTGTTCTGTAAACTGTCACGGTGTGTGAGGCCTCAAGTGTTCAAACTTCATGTAACGGCGTATTCTGATTAAGGTTTGTAGTACTCAATACGACTGGTGTATAAAATGTGTGACAAATTGGTAACCTCACCCAATACTGACTACTCATGAGGTTTGCTTTGTAAATAATTCTATATATTTAAGTTTGTACTATAACAATATCGTTAGAGTTGTCCAAGTGTTCGTCGACTTGGATATTGTCGACTGTGCAAGGAGTGGTAGACAGTATGCGAATGTTCGAATGGATCGTAACGTGGACTCAAATGTAACGGTTTTTGTTGTTTTGTAGATATTTGTAAAGTCGGACAATAATTATTGTAATTGTATTTCAGTTATGTGACATTCTATTTAGCGCCCTGGCGTGATACAATTCTGTATTGGGACTGTTTGCACTGAGTTTTCATAAAATATGGACACGGTTTGGTGTAGAAGGCGCGAGTTCAAACCTCGATCACTTCGATTTTTTTTTTCGATCGCACAATAAACATTAGAATTATATTTTCTAGAAATGTCCAATACTTGTACATCGTATGAAATAATTTTTATCATTGTTATTTATGCTACACATATTGAAGATATATATATATAATTTAGTTCTATATAGATTATCAATACTCAGTGCAAGTAGACTCTCTATTTTATTTGCCGACAAATTATGTTATGTATAATTGATTGAAAATTAATTGAGAACCACCATGTTGATTTTATGTCTTCAGAGTCGTGTGGATTGGACTATTTGTCACTTTCATTCTTGTACATAAAGTAATAAAAATTTATTTTACAAATTTATTTATATTTATGTTTTATTTCATTAACACTTGTTTGACCAATATATGTAATATTATACGTGAATGTTTCTAAATATATACAAACGTCTTTCTCGTTTGGACGTTTGTTGCGCAATCACACTTAAACGGCTGAACGGATTTGAATTAAATTTGTTATATCTGTAAATTATATCCTAACACAGGGTACTCTTTTTCTAGTAACTTAGAATGTCAAACAAGCCGATAGTCCACCTGATGGAAAGTGTACTTTATACACTAACATGCGTCTATAATAAGTACATAGGATACATATAAACAACTAGTTAGGTATGCATGTTACTACACAGAAGAGGTGTGCTACTATTATAAATTTGCTATAAATTTTTGTCTTGTTGAATTTATTTTTAAACCTATCACTTTTTTTTTGTAATTGTTTTAACGTATGGGACAATCTTATTAACAAAAATTTTACCAATGTAGTTTTTTTATGGGTAATAATGGAATGGTGACCCTGCCTGCGTTATTTGTATTCATTGGCGGGGCACCAGTGAGAGATGACAGATGAGGATGAACTAGGTCAGTCAGCCCAGCATAAATACAGGAAGAATTTAATCACGATGGTTTTCAGGGGGAATCACGTGGAGGTCGACCTGACAAAGTATATTGCTAGTAAAGGGGCTTCTTTTATAATGTAGCTAATGTACTGTAGAAAGGATAGAACTAGGTAAGATAGTCTAACGTTAATTTTGGAGTAGTGAAGATGCGTTGGGGCGAATAGATTTTTTCCCATTGTTTAATTTATCTGCAATATTTTTAATAACTTCGCGGCACTACACTTTCACAATGCTACAACACACACACACACATATATATATCGTCCCTGTAAATGACTTATTACGGGGATATATGGAGACGCCTGCCCTCTGGTGTGAGTGCCGTCCAACAAGACAGTGTGACTGATGCGGGAACAGAAACATTGACCACGGCAGTTTTTGCAAATATCAACAATCTTTGGTTTTTTTTATGGGTGAAAATGGTATGGTAACCCCGCCTGCGCTAACGGGATACGCTGGCGAGGCACCAGTGAAGGGTGATAGATGAGAATAAAAACAGGCCAGTTAGCCCATCATGATGAATTCATCAGGAATTAACCATGATAGTTTCCAGGGGGAACCGCGAGGAGGTCGACCTGGTTGGCTATATTGATAGCAATGGGATTCTCAATCTCCATTACTAACAATCCCTTTCCCCCACAATCTTCGGTTTATTTGGGGTGAGTTTAGGTGATATTTATTATTTTTATTGGTTATATACGTATACATATAAACCGAGGAAAAATAGACAATGATAAGTGAATTACGGAAGCCCTGAACCAGTAACCTAAGTGTGAGATGAAGTAGGTGATGAAAGTCATCCCATCGAAATTCCTTTATATAACACCCATCTTACTCCTCGAGGCAGGTTTGTTTTACACTGGATCATCCCGCCATTGCTGATGTGGTGCTTAAGGGAATGGAATTATTTACTCCTAACTCTGTAGTGCCCGTCGGTGGAAAATCCCAGCCCTGGTATGGAGCCTTTTGTAGACCAGCATCTCGTTTGAAACAGGCGTGCTTCCTAGCCTGGGCTAAAGGTGTGGAGCCGCGAGATCCTAATACCAGTAAAAAGAAAAAGCTATAAGCCCTTAAAAAGAAGTTCAACTCTGCCTCTAGGTCTTTCAAAAGAGTTATAACCACAGTGAAGTCAGAGCATATTAGTAGAATTGGCAAGAGATTGGTTAGTTTGCCTTCGGGATCTCGAGCTTTCTGGTTTGGACAAAATCTCGCACAAGCATTTTGGACCCGCTTAATTAAGCGTTCCGTTCTTTTTAAAAGACAGTCTTTTTTATGACAGGAAGAAACCACCACCGACCATCCCGCGTTGCTAGAAGAGCTCTATGCCTGATATTAAATTCACGCATAGCTCAGTGCGTAGAGCATTTCTCTCCCTTGAAATCCATAAATCGAGTGGGCCCGATGGTATTTCTCCAATTGTGCTTAGGACGTGTGCGTCAGAGTTGGCTCCGGTTCTTTCACGTCACTTTCGGCTGTGTTACTCATCAGGTATAGTCCCAAAGTTTTAGAAGACTGCTCTAGTACATCCGATCCCTAAAAAGGGAGATCGCTCAGATCTAGCTAACTATAGGCCCATAGCTATCACTTCCTTATTCTCAAAAGTTATGGAATCCATCATTAACCGTTAACTGCTCCGGTACCCAGAAGAGCACCCGCTGATCTGTGATCGCTAGGACGGCTTTCGACAGGAACGTTCGGCCGGTGATCTTTTAGCTTACTTAACTCACCAGAGGGAGACTTTGTACAAAAATCGATTGCTTGGGTACCTCTGTCCCATTCGTGTTTCAACCGTAAAGCAGTTGTGTTTGCATGGCTGTGTTTCGGTTTGAAGGGTGGAATATGGCGTGAATTTACAGGGTACAGAGGAATAACACCTGAGTCCTCAGGAATGGCAACGCATGGGGGGTATCATGGGCGAAACAGTATACTCTGTTATGTCCATTGTACTGCTCATGTCTATAGGCGACGGTTACCACTTTCCGTCAGGTGGGCCGTCAGCTTGTTTGCCATTCTAAGTTGTATAAAAAAAAACACCGATGGGCAGTCGCAATCGAGAGTAAGGGAGAGACCTTAGCTGTTAGTTAGTTAGTGGACATTGCGAAACTTTGATCGGTTTGATGTGACATAGAGCGCTGCTTTCGAAACCACCCTCGTTTGGGTTGCCTGCAAGATTGTGCATTTGGGTCAACAGTTTTCTCAAGAACCCATTGAAACTGCGTAGAGATGTTGCATCTCTGTGCATCTTCTACCGAATCTATCATGAGGAGTGTTCTAAAGAATTGTTTGGATTGATACCTACTGCTGACTTTTACTACCGTGCAACCCGCCATAAACCAAAATTTCATCCCAACCATCTGGACAAATGGCGGTCTTCCACCGCGCGTTTTTCAAGGTACTTTCTTCCACGCACAACCATTCTTTGGAATCAACTTCCAGCAGCAGTATTTCTGAACTGATACGACATCATAACCTTCAAGAAAAGAGCATATTCTTTTTTAAAAGGCCGGCAGCACACCTGCGATGCCTTTGGTGTTGTGAGTGATCATGGGCGGCGGTAGTCACTTACGATCAGGTGAGCTGCATGTTCGTTTGCCCTCAGTATTGTAAAAAAAAAATGATTATAACATATTTAAATGTTTTAAAATAAGTTGTATGGGTAATAAAAAGTATAAGTAAAATAAAATAATAGAATCCGTTGAAATGTGTTTAATTTATTACATTATTAATAGGGCCGATTCCGAAGCGTTGTTTCTCTCTTAATATTTTAAAAATTTCGCTGTTATGATCCATCGTAAACTTGATTTATTTATGTATTATAAATTTAGTTTAAATTTGTCCTTAGAATAATGATTTCGCTGTGATAATAAATTAAATATTTAATTTTAGACATAGGTTTAGAAAAATGCCGCCTCAGATTCGACTCCATAGTCTCGAATTTAACACAAAAAACACTATAAACATCATACTGCCACGTAAATCGGTAATTTATGTGGCAGTATGAAATAATTAAATGTATAATGCAAATTAATATAATGCAAGTCGTCATCTCTCAGTTATTTACTATTCGGCTTTATTTTCTTTGTCGTTGTCCTCATTGAAATTTATGTAGACCATGGGGTCTTTTGGCTTAAATTTTCTGAAAAATATATTTTAAATCGTTAAAATATATTAATATTTTAAATTTAGTACTAATTGTATCAATGCTGGAAAATAAAAATGTATTAACCGCCGTTTGGGTATTATAAGTAATTTGATACAATAAAACAGCGTTCATTTTATAACTTGTTCAAGTCGGCTATTCCATTCAATAGACATTACGAATTTAATAAGTCATAGAAATAGAAAAAATAACGCTGTTGCGTTGTACATGTTATTCATACCTATTTATTAATCCTTATCCAAATAAATTATTTTGTATTCAAAATTGTTTCAATACCTGCAGATTACTTATTGAATTTGTCAAATACTAGGTATATTCCATTCGAAAGATGTAATGTTAAAAAGTCAGATATAGAAAAGGCGTCCGCCTCTCGCGCCATGTTGGCCGCGTGGCTAGCTAGCCAGGTATTGTAACGGTGTGGAGAAGGGCAAGTAGGGTCGGGCACATCTATGAAATAGGTAGTTAGGTAGGATCAGATAAAAATCCAAAATGTTCTAAAAATGTCTACCGTGCGAAGCCGGGACAGGCCACTAAGTTTTTTATTATATTTAATTTAATTTACTTATTTAGGTAAAATCTTGAAATCTAAATTAGGTTCAATTCATCTTAATCGATTTTGCTGTAATTTGCATTAAAACAGCGTCTCCATACAAATGCATACATTTTGCCCCTCCATTGTATCATGACGGTAAAATTTTACAATATCGTGAAGTTCCACGGCCATAGGCTGGAAATATTTATCGGATAAAATAAAATTCTATTGGAGTGCAGATAAAGGCACTTTATTTACACGTCTGAAGGATTTAACATATTTCCAATGTTTATTTAATAAATTAAATAACGAAAAAATTGTTTCATAAAAACACCGATTTCAATCGTTGCAAAAATTATATTGCTCAACATGGGACATTTAAAAATAGTATATTTATCCAGCCATTTGTTTAGAAAGAAAAGAAGGTAACTACAAACTTTATATAGATGTTGCAGTCAAAACTCTAAACTAGTCAAAAGTATTTTTGACTGAACAGGTTGGTCAAAAGTGGTTTTGTCTGAAAATTATTGGTTACTAATAGTTTTGACTGCAAATTTACGGGTAGGTTATGTACTTGTAACTGTTATTTTAGTCAAAAGTATTATTGACGAAAGCATACGGTCAAAAGTACTTTTGACTGGTTAAGAGATTTGACTGCAACATACACATAGAAACGACGTAAGCAGGTATCCACGAGTATTTACATTTAATTGAATATACTTTAATTAAATATATAAAAAATACGTACATACTGTCGACACCTGCCTGCTGTAGAATATTTTTAGCAGTTTTGTATTCGGTTTTCCTGGCTTTACAGTCTGAAGCATATATGACTTTTTTGATGCCTGATTGAACGATCAATTGTGCGCATACATTGCATGGGTGCAATTTGACATATATGGTGCAGTTCTTCACATTTCCCGCGTTAAAGATTGCATTCTGTTCTGCATGACACACTGAAAATGAAGATATTAACATATTTTGATAAATATATATAAAGAATTATAATTACACGTTGTTATTATATGTGTACAAAACTGTATAATGCAATCCCTAAAGAATTTAATGAATTAGGTCTTAAACAATTCAAACAAACGTTGTCGAAGTGGTTCTTACAAAAGTGTTTCTACACGATAAGAGAATTTATTGAGTATAAACGTGACAATATTTAGTGTATCATACTTGACATAAATGTAAGCTGTGACATACTCGTATTGTACAAATTGAATTTATATCTATATATTATTGTATTTGTTACTTGTATGTGATTATTATTTGACATTGGCATCTATTGACGTTGGACTATTGTAATAGAATGAATTGTAACAGTTGACGAATTATTATTACTTAATGTCGATAAACGATATCGTTTTTTGGGAGAATTATTTACAGAATGACATAATTTGTACTCTATTATTAATTAGCACTTATATGTATGTATTAAATGTGATGTATCTTGTACCCAATAATAATTTTGCATGATTTAGAATATAAGGCGAACATTTCTACTTCACCTAATAGATCTGTAAAAAACAATGTTCTCGCAAATAAAGAAATCTAATGTAATCTAATCTAATCACGAAAAATTTACTAAAAAAATATTAATACAAAATAGGTACATAAAATTTGGATAATATTCATATCTAAATTCTGTTTTAACTTTTAAGTTGTTTAATAATATTACAATATATAAGCAATTTTACACACCCTCCCATATATATACATTCAAATTACTACATACAGGGAACACATTTTTTTCACAATTTTCATTACTTAGATAAATTATCTTTATATACTAGGTCACTCAGTATTGCGAGAAAAAGTTTTTATGTATGTGAGACTGGCCAGTTATAATTTATTTAAAAATATGATTACTTATAAGTAAAATAGGTACCTACGTTCTACATTGAAAACTTGCCTGAAACCGGACGAATCGTATGATAGACTTCAAATGACATTCGTGGATGAAGGCTCTACTAAGGCAACCGTGTATCGTTGGTATAATGAATTTAAGCGCGGTCGACTAACTTTGGGGGATGAAGAAAGAAGTGGTCGCTCTTTGATAGCTGTTACGGAAGAAAACGTGCTAGCAGTGAAAAATTTGATCAAAGACAATAGACGAGTTACATACCAATTAATTTAGCAGATCCTGCAGATTGGATCAGGAAGCCTTCACGAGATTCTACACATGCATCTACGGATGCGGAGGATAGTTTCACGCTGGGTTTCGCACAATCTCAGTGATGTTCAGAAGCCGGCAAGGGTAGAATGGTGCCATGATATGATAGACAAATTTGAAGCAGGCTCGTTTCGGCGTGTTTACGACATCGTTATAGGTGATGAATCCTGGATTTATCAATACGATCCAGAAACAAAGCGCCAGTCAACGGTTTGGGTGTTTGAAAACGAATCAACGCCTACTAAAGTAAAGCGACCTAGAAGTGGCAGGAAGATTTTGGTCGCGAACTTTTTCAATTTGACTGGTGTTAATTCCTTTACGAAACCAAAGAAGCATTAACGCCGAATGGTATACAACCAAATGCTTGGCAGAAGTTTTCCCTGTTTTGAGCAACAAGCGACCAAACAGGGCTCCGCGAGCTACTGCTCCACCACAATAATGCGCCCGCCCACACTGCAATCAAAACGAGGGACTTCCTAGACAGCACACCGGTCAAACTCCTGGGTTACCCTTCTTATAGCCCTGACCTAGCACCGTGTGATTCCCAAAAATAAAAAATCAGCTCAAAGGGATACAATTTTTGTCGCTGGATGATACGCTCTCAGCGTTCGAGCAGGCTGTAAACAAGGTGTGCGGCGGACTGGAAAAAGTGTTTTGAAAACTGGTTCAGACGCATGAAACTTTGTATAGAGGCTGGTGGAGAGTATTTTGAAAAGATGTAATAAAAATATATTTTTCTTGAACATGCTTGGAAATGTGAGCATTATTTTGACAATCTTCTTCGAGATAAATCAAAATTGTCGTACTGGCCAGATACATGCGGGCAGCGGCCGGCAAAAATTGTATGAAAATCCATATCTGTCGTGTTTTGCGGCCAAATAAATTACTATGTAAACTCATATCTGTCCTGTAATTTAAAAATGGAATGACCTTTTACTTCGAAACATGGCTACCAAGGAGATAACTAATAAAAGGTTTTAATTAAATTTCGAACTGGCTTGCAAATTTTTTATTTATTTATTTCTCTCACAAAATGACAACATAATAAAATGAACAGCTATATAGGTTACAATTTAAAAACAACGTTTGTGAGAGACTGGTGTCGGTACTAGGATTACCCTTCTTACAGATCACCAGGCTCCCAAGCTCAAGGACATCTATTTTACTTGATCTATAAAGGTAAGAGTATACAAGTTAATAAATGAAATTAGAAAAAAATTATAATCTACGTGTGTGTACTAGTATGGGTGAGAGGACAATCTAAAGGTGAGCAAGTGCGTGTGAGTAGGTGCATAAATGCGTACGTGTGTGAGTGTGTGTGTACGAGTGCCTGTGCGTGTGTGTGTTTATGTATACCTAATCCAGTTATTTTATCACCACAATAAGATTTTCAGTCTACATATAAGTCAGATTTTGCATCCAATTAATTACAATATTTTTACATCTTTGATTTGGGTGCATATATAGAAAGAATACCATTAATTTTGTTATAGAGATATGATCCAAGAAATCCAAAGAATTTGTTTGACGCATCGTTAGTAGATTTATATGTGGTTGAGTGTTAAGATTTTTATCGACTATAATACCTAGATAAGTTACGCTGTCTACTTTTCGCAGGTGCGGACATTTGCACAAAGACGACGTAGGGTTGCAACAAGTATATGCTGTTATGTTATAGCGAGAGTTATTTTTAGTCTTATTGTTTTTTAATGTAAATGCAATGTATTTAGTTTTTATTATATTTAAAGTAAGAAGATTATTTGTGAGCCATTCATTACCTTATTTAGACCATTTTGTGCGTTTTGATAAACCTCATCCCAAGTTATACCATAATACAAAAGAGTTGTGTCATCAGCAAAAACAACAACCTTTCTATTCATCAACTCAAGTTCGCAGAGATCATTAATATATGCTAAAAATAGCGTAGGACACAGTATGCTGCCCTGTGGGACGCCATGAGTTAGGGTAAGGTTAGAATTAATTTTTACACGTTGGGATTGGCCCGTGAGGTAACTTTTAAATAGATCATGTTGTTACCAGAGGGAGACTTTGTACAAAAGTCGATTGCTTGGGTACCTCTGTCCCATTCGTGTTTCAACCGTGAAGCAGTTGTGTTTGCATGGCTGTGTTTCGGTTTGAAGGGTGGGATATGGCGTGAATTTACTGGGTACAGAGGAATAACACCTGAGTCCTCAGGAATGGCAACGCATGGGGGTATCATGGGCGAAACAGTATACTCTGTTATGTCCATGGTACTGCTCATGTCTATAGGCGACGGATACCACTTTCCATCAGGTGGGCCGTCAGCTTGTTTGCCATTCTAAGTTCTATAAAAAAAAAAAAAAAAAAAAAAAAAAAAAAAAATACCTCTTATTCCCAAGTTTAGTAATTTATCAAGTAATATTGGTACAGAGATCATGTCGAATGCCTTCATTAAGTCAAGGAAGATTCCTATAGTTTTTTTTATTTTTATCAAGGTTTGGTACTATATAGTTTGTTAGTTCATGTACGGCATTATTAGTTGACTTATTTTTTCTGAATTCGAAAAAGTGTACTAATCTTTTGTTAATATTTTTTTCTAAAATTTTTGATAAAGCTGAGAGTATGGCGGAGATAGTTATTAATACGATCTCTGGTCATTTGGAGAGGATGGATGAAAGAAGAATTACGAAAGAGATTTATCGAGCAAGAATGAATGGAGATGTCGGTAGGGGCCGCCCTAGACGGACGTATGTCGACCAAATAGGCGACATGCTGAAGAAGGGCCAATTTAAAAGTACCCGTAACCGACGAGCGTGTATGACAAGATTGATGAATGTGGAAGAAGCGAAAGAGGTTTGTTTGAATCGAAGCATTTGGCGTTCCATTGTTTCTGCCTACCCTAATGGGAGACAGGCGTGACAGATATGTATGTATGTATGTACGATCTCTGTCTCCATTTTTGTGAATAGGAAAAATTTATGCTTGTTTAAATGCCTCCGGGGATTCTCCAGTTTTTACAGATATGGACTATATTAGGTGCTAATGGTATATTAGGTGGTAATAATATCTCTTTGTTTTTTAATAATGTTACTGGGAATATTGTCAAGGCCAGGTGCACAATCACCCTTTAAGTTTAATATTATTGTGCAAATTTCCTTCTCATCAGTCAGGAGCATAACAAATGATCTACTTGAAGCGAATTATTTAGATGTGTTGCTGGAGAATTAGTCGATTTATTATTTTTATTTATATTTTCTGCAAGAGTTTTTCCTATATTTACAAAGTATTTATTTATATCGTTTATATTATTATTGCCGTTAATCAATTCCAAGGCCAGGGATTTTGGTTTATTTGTACAAGTTATCGTTTTTATCACTTTCCAAAATTTTTTAATGTTTTTTTTGCGCTTTACTAATTTCCGTTCTTTCATATTCTTGTATTAATTTTTTTAGTCGCAGTGCAGCATTGCAATGATTTCGATAGCTTGTATGTAATTTTGAGAATGTCATTGCTAGGGTTCTTTTTAGATTTTGCGTGCAGTTTGTCTCGATTTTTTATACATTTCAATAGACCGGGAGTTATCCATGGTTTTAATATACGTTTACGTCTGGCACAAATTCTAATTTTAGTGCATTGATCCATAATATTATTTATGGTCAAGATAAAATGATTAACTGCATTAAACTATATAGTAACTTATAGTGTATCCTTTGTCGTCTTTTTACTAATTATATTTGCATAAGAAGAAAGGGGACAACCATATGATTCACAGTTTTTATTTTATCATTCCTTCTATTCCTTGTTCTTGGCTTTATACAAAAGATATACTCAATATGGTTCCAAACTATCAGACAACTTAAAACAATTACCTGTAATAGAGTTTAAATTAAAACTACGCGGAATATTAATAAATACGTGGGACACTCAGAAAGTTTTGCAACACTATAAAAAAAGTTCAAGTACATTACTGCAGCGGTCAGCAACTGAGGCATTGATGGACGAACGTGCAAATGTGGGCAGAGGCAACACTTTGATATTGCAAATAGACCTATGTTAAGCAAATAAATAGTAATACTACAGTCTTCCGTCGGCAAAAATAGGCCTGCTATTGTTATTGAAATTCAAATATGTCTGTTAAACGGTCACCACCTGAACTGAAAAACTGTGAATCATATGGTTGTCCCCTTTCTTCTTATGCAAATATAATTAGTAAAAAGACGACAAAGGATACACTATAAGTTACTATTTTTGTCAATTCATAGCAGGCTAGTGTATAGAAAATGTTTGATTTGTCAATAATACATTTTACATTACTAGGTTATATTTGACACAGTTTATGTAGAAAGTATGCAAGCAGGTTATATCTGAATTTGGTAGGGTTATGCGGCCGTATAACGTATGTATTCGTACACTACATATGATTTACAGTTTTTATTTTATCATTTCTTCTATGTAATTTCTTGTTCTTAGTAATAAAGTAGCGTGGCATTGTATTTTATTTGTAGATTATTTTCTTTTGTTTTAGTTCGCCAACAGAGCACTTTTAAAATAATCGGCCAGAAATATTGATAACTGTTCAATTGTTTTTGAAAATCGACAGATAA